TCTCCAAGTTGTCTTGTCATTTTTGCTCCAAAAGTCTCGCTATCCATTCATATTTCAGAGTGTGTTTCCGGAACCTTCAATGTAGGGTGATCAGCTAGGGACCCAGATGTGTGGGGAAATCTCCAAGCATCAGTACCTGCAGGCTCCTTCCTCCTGGCTGTTCCATTTTCTCAGAGAGGAATACTCTAATCTGCTTAGCTATGTGGGTGCTAAGCCTAATAGTTAGGAATTCTAAAGCATTCTCACAGACTCCTTGCTTATTAGGTCCTGTGTTCCCCAAGGTACCCCATTCCTACTCCATGCTATGGCCTGGTGTCGCCACAGCCATGCTTCTCTTGCTCATCCTTTCCTTCCATCGTGGGTGGAGAGGAATCACCTGTCTGCACAGGCTGGAGAGACATCAGGAAGTCTCCTATCTCCTGGGGCTCCTGCCACTTGAGGTATCTGATGCCTCAAGTGCCCGAGGAAGTTGACAGTACAAATCCCCTCAACGATTTGGTAGAAAAGAGGAGACAGAAACTCCACCTGTGTATTCATCCGGATTCACCAGGAATGATGTTGTGATGAGACGCCCTCCCTCCCCTGCCCCAAATCTCCAGGGCTGAAAATAACCCAGGTTATTTTATTCTGTTCCATGTTCCACTGGGCCAGCAGAGAACCCCACACCCAGGCTGTGCTCACAGAATGCACGCCACCGCCACCGTTTCATGCCATTACCCTCTCAGCAAGAGGCCTCCGGGTTGGTTGCCTCTGGAGAAGAAAACACAGTCTTTGCCATTCCTGCCTGGAAGCAACACACCTCAGCCTTCATGTGTCTAGGGGACCAGGAAGGGCAATCCTCTGTATTAGCAAGAGAACTAGAAACATCGGGGAGTACTCATGTGTCTAGCACAGCCAGTTACCAAAAACTGGAGCAATAGTTCACTGTTTCCATTCTCTAGTAGGTCTTCTTTCTGCTTTTAAAAAAAGTACTTTGCTCTCATTTTAGTGGACTTTTAGGAGAGAGCAGAGGTAAACACCATGTCAGAGCTGCAGGCCACAGAACTCAGAGCAGCCCGGACCTGTTAACAGGCACTGGGTGCTTGCGAATGCACACGGCAGCATTATGTGTACAACACCTGGTAGAATCCATCTGTGCTCCACCATGACTGTTCTCTGAATGATTCTGTTGCCTGAGGAAGATTGGGTGGGGGGTGCATTTTCCAGAATGGTCCTTCACTGTCAATATTTTTCAATATTTTTTGGAAGGAAGGTCTCAAACATACATCTGAAAAATAGAAATTCCTTACTATAAGCAAATCAGCACTGAGCATCCGATGTTAAATAATATATATATATTTGCCAGTCAGATCTGGGGCTTGAACTCAAGGCCTGGGCACCATCCCTGAGCTTCTTTTGCTCAAGGCTAACACTACCACTTGAACCATAGCTCCATTTTGGGCTTTTTCTTTGTATGTGGCACTGAGAAATCGAACCCAGGGCTTCATGCATGCTAGGCAAGCACTCCACCACTAAGCCACATTCCCAGCCCATGAATAATTTTATTCTGTCTTCCCACCCTATTCCAGCCAATAAACACCAGTTTGCTTAAAAAAAAAAAAAGTGCTGGGAGAGAGCGAGGGAAAAGGTGACATTGTCCAAAAAGAAATGTACTCTTTACCTGAGAAAAATGAGTGGTGTTAAAAACATAGTTCCTGATTTGCAATTATCTCTAGTGATGGGTACTGCAGGCATTCTTGATTTCTTTCTGTTTGCCCATTGTATTTTCTGATCTTGCTGGTCTGCAAATGTGCTGCTTTTGTATTAGGACTTCCAGGGCTGGGGCTGCAGGTTTGCAGGCCATTATCACAGTGGGATAGCCCTGATTGTTATAACTAAATCTGTGCTAAGAAGGATTTAGTTCAGCCTCAAGTTGGCAGCTCTTATATGGGGAAGCTGCCCAGATAATACTTTTTTCCCTCTCTTTAAGTCAGTATTTCTCAGCCTTTCATCTACTTAAGAAACTCAAGGAGCATGTATAAAACAAAACAAAAAGCTGGGTATCAGTGGCTTACAGCTGTAATCCTAGCTACTCAAGAGATTGAGATGTGAGGATCACAATTCAAAGCCAGCACAGGCAAAGAAGTCTGAGTCTCTTAATTCCAGTTAACCACCAAAAAGCTAAAAATGGAGCTATGGCTGAAGTGGTTGAACACCAGCCTTGAGTGGAAAAGCTAAGGGACAGGCCCCAGTCCCTGAGTTCAAGCCCCAGTACCTGCATAAAAACAAAAGAAACTACCCTCCCCCATCACTGATCTCTACCTCAGGTATTCAAGTTTGAAAAGGGAGGGCAATAATTTTCACTTTTAACAACTGTACCCCCACCCCGCCAATCTGGATCCCCAAACTGCATACAGCACTATCTATCTATCTGTCTGTCTGTCTACACATACATCCATACCCTATACATATATACGTATATATATACATATGTGAATATATACATATGCACATATATTACATATAACAATGCTTTTCTGTTTCCTACAACAACATGCATGAAATGAGCATTCAGTAAATATCTATTTGTTTCTGGGGCCACAAAAAGATACTTCCTATAAGCATAGCTTAGCAAAGGAGATACAACCCACAGATTCAAAGGGCTTCAAAATGACTGAGGGAAGATTTTACAGCACAGGTTTGAGGTTTGTTTTCTACTAATTCATCATAAGCTAGTAAACCCTGCTCCCCAATTTCCTAGCATCAAGTTTGATTTCTAACAGTATGGGTTCCTAAAGCATCAGTCAACATTCTACAATTAAACAATGTCTGGAATGAAACATGGAAGAGGGTTGTCAGTCAAGTTCAAATGAATAAAAGCCATGCTTGGCCTTACTGTTGCCTATTCTGGGGCTCAATATGAAGCCCCAAAGCCCCTTGCTGAAGCAAGTCATCTCAAGGAGCTAGTACAAGGGAGGAGGTTCGCAGAAGAGAACCCCACCTAGGAAAATGTTCCCACAGCTGTTAGAAAGTTGCTGATGTGGAAAGTGCTGATGCGTTTCCAGGTTTCTCACAGGATGCGCAGCCTTGCCTCCTGCCGGCTCCCTACTGAAAATCTGCTGCATTTCCAACTCATTTGCAAAGCGCTTACTGCAATCCCTTCTCTGTCTGAGAAACCTGCAGCCGGCTGGAGGTGAAAGGGAATGGTTGGTTTGTTGAGCTCACTTGGTTTTACCCAAACCCGGAGAGTTGGGAAGCCTGTCTGAAATTACTGACCCAATGCTGCCCCCTGGCTGAGGAGGGCGCAGCTGCCTCCCTAACCCTTGCCAACGGCTCCTTAAAAGGTGTTAGCAATTTAATCAAGGAGCAGCCAATATTGACTACTACTAAAACACCAGATGGATACCACTTTGACCTGCACAGACCTTTGCGTATTAGGAAAATGAACAAGCTGCTTCTAATAATGGATCTTCATCCCAAAAGACCCGCTGGGAAACAGCCTGGTATAATCATAAAATGCAGAATTAAATGAAACTGAATTTAACCTCTTCACCCTTCTCTTATCCAAGCTCCATTTTTAAATGAAATTGCTTAAAAATTACTCAACAGAATGGAAAAGTGAGAAAGCAGAAACAATATTTATAGTGAGGTGGCGGAGCAAAGGTTACTTTTCTTGATTTATTTCGAATGGCCTGTGATACCCAAGTTGGCCATGTTACCAAATTGCGTAGGTATTTCAAAGATGGAAAATAAAAGGTTGAATGAGGCAGGAACAGCTTTGTGTGCTTCTTCACAATGAAGTTCAGTCTAATTTAAAAAGATGCCCTGCGGGAGAGGGAAATGGGAGACCCTGAAGGAAGGGGTGGGCATTGTCCGAAAAGCATTGCACTCCTGACCTGACTTATGAAATGCTGATCTCTCTGTACAACACCTTAATAACCACAATAAATTTATATTAGGAAAAAATATGTCGTGGTAGCAGCAGAGGTGACAAGTAAGGGTTTATTGAAACACACCATGGCCAAATGAACGGCAGAATTCTGTGGGGCTCAGCAGGATTCCCCTGATTTCCTCCGAAGAGACTATCTTCTTTAAGGGAGTGGTTTAAAGGCAGTGTACCAGGACCGGAGATCTGCCTTCCTAGAAGATAAATCCCACATACCCACGTGCACTGGGAAACTGCTTACTGCAAAGAAATCCTTCCTCAGATGTCTTATTTAAGAACTGAGTATGCTTCCTATTCGCACACAGGACAAGGCCTGACACAAAGTCCCCCATTCTTTGTCTTATAAATAACTGGCCATCATGCCAAACTCATTTGAACAAAATACCCACTAATCTGACTTTTGGTCAAACTTCTTTCCCCTGGGTGCCTAAACTTTGGGCATCCCAGAGCCCCTGTGGAACAGGATGGGGCTCGGGTGAAAATTCTGCTTTCTGCATCAAGCCACCCTTCCACCCCGCCAGGGCTGCAAGCTTGTCTTTCCGAACTTGGGCTACTCCTCCCTGGAAAGAACAGCCTTGTGCCCAAACCCAAACTCTTGTAGAGATGATGGTCAGAGGTTCTCCGTCGCCCCCTAACGAAACAGCACCTTTCTCGCAGTTTCTAATATGGTGTCTCCTTCCTCAACCCTGGCGTTTTTGTCCTTATAGATACAAATTCTTGGATTTCCCCCTCCCCCCCCCTCCAGACCTTCTGATTCAGCAGGGGTGTGTATGAGGGGGAAGGGGGAGGGGGATCTAAGTCTCATAAAACTGTCCAGGAACAGTTGGAGAGACCCCGATCTCCAGTGATTTGCAGCTTTGGATCTGGCTCCCGTATGGTGCTTCATTCACTCAGCCCAGCTGAGCGCAGGCCTGTTTCTGAAGGTTAACCATGGGAAGAAACGTCCCCCCCCCTTCCCCTCCTCGCCCCATCCCTACCATTTATCCCACAAGATCGTTTCCTTCCGAGGATGCACCAGGCCTCAGAAGCACCCACCTCCCCTCCCCTGAGAGTGTGGGGCCCAGCCCGGACTTACATCTCCATCCACCGGCCTCTGGTCGTCACAGTCCCTGGTGGGGCTGATGTCCTGGCGCATGACCCAGATGGGTTCTTTGGGCTCGTCGGGGGTGTAAGGCGAACGGATGGTCCTGGTTTTCACCTCCTCGATGGCCTCTTTGATATCCTTGATGGCCAGCGAGATGGCATCCCTCTTCTCCTTGCTGTAGCGCTGCCCGGAGTCGCCTGCGGGGCCCGCCGCCCGCTGCTG